AATCTGTGTTTTATGTTGAACATTGACAGATACCGGCAAAGTAGTGCTTTTCCGAAAAACACTGATTCAAACACTGCTCAAGAGTTCTGCAACTTGTTTAAATTATTGTTTATGTTCCTCGCGTCTCTCTCTCCTCGCGTCTCTCTCTCCTCGCGTCTCCGTCTCTCTCTGCTCCTCGCGTCTCCGTCTCTCTGCTCCTCTCTGTCTCTCTCTGCTCCTCTCTCCTCGCGTCTCTCTCTCCTCGCGTCTCTCTCTCCTCGCGTCTCTCTCTCCTCGCGTCTCCGTCTCTCTCTGCTCCTCGCGTCTCCGTCTCTCTGCTCCTCTCTGTCTCTCTCTGCTCCTCTCTCCTCGCGTCTCTCTCTCCTCGCGTCTCTCTCTCCTCGCGTCTCCGTCTCTCTCTGCTCCTCGCGTCTCCGTCTCTCTCTGCTCCTCTCTGTCTCTCTCTGCTCCTCTCTCCTCGCGTCTCTCGCACCTGCGCTTCTTAGGCTGAGTTTACACGGAGACAATGTGGCAGTAAAACGGTATAGTTGGATGTTGGTTGCTACCAACCGTTCATACGAAGACAGTGTTCCAGGGGGGTGAAAACGTAAGTGTTCAGATCCAGCCTGCAGAGTGGGACAACTCAGAAACGCTGCACAGCGGGGGCTCTCTTTCACACCCGCGAGAGGGGAAAAGGTGTGAAATCCCCCTCTGCTCTGACCCCCGCCTCCTGCTGCTCCCAGCACGTAAATTTGGACATGCGCAGTAGCGGAGAACAAACGAAAACAAAAATGGCGCCGCGCACACTAACTAGCTTCGTGGGCTTCCAGCGCGGCACAGAGGATAATTCTACTTCTTCGTTCGTCCAAACGAGACCACGCGAAGCTCTAGGTTCAGTTTCCATGTTCACAGCTGCTGTTAAAATGCAGAATGATGTTGGTACTTTCTGAGGGTCTAGTACAGGAAGTGAGTACACTGCCGAGAGGGGGGCTGGGCACGGGGCTGGGGGTCGTGTGAGTGTTGTAAAGTTTCTCTGCCCACTACTGGCCGGGCGCTAGAACTACATCGTTTTTCAACCTCATGTGAACACTGAGAAATTTGCATTAGGAGCCTGGTCGTTTCTGTTACTAGCCTGGAAACGTCTGCGCAGCGTCTCAGTATAAACAGGGCCTTAAAGATGTTGTTTGATGCGGAGCAGAGTCAGCAGCTAGATTTGTTGTGAGATTATTAAAAGAAGCTGGTTCTCTTATCTTTACAGTATATAAAGTTTGTGGATGTCATTGCATTGGTGATTAAATGCTATTTTATTTGAATAATGATTGTAAATCTGACTTTTAAAGTCAGTGCCTCCCCAATCACAAACCTCACCGCACGTCCCTGGAACGGAGAGAGACCAGAGATATAGACCAGAGAGATAGACCAGGGAGAGACCAGAGAGAGGCCAGGGAGGGAACGGAGAGAGACCAGAGAGAGACCAGAGAGAGGCCAGAGAGAGACCAGAGAGAAACCAGAGAGAGACACCAGTCACGGTGTTTAATTGGATATAGTTAGTTTGATTTGAAGAGCAGATGATTAATTAATTTATGTATTTATTCATTTGAATGGGACAGTGCATATCAATGAACAGACACATTAAAAACATGAATGTAAACATGCCAGATTGTAGCAAAAGGCTAATTTCCATCTGTTGTCCCATGAAGAGAAACTTTGAGACTTTAAGAGCTTGGCCTTGACTTGAGTTGGTTGGGCTCTTGGGTTGTGTTTCAGTTGGAGAAAATGAGACCATAGTTGGGAGAGAGACTATAGAGAGAGAGATCAGAGGCCAGAGAAGAACCAAGGAGGACTTTGGGCTGAGAGCTGATCTAAGGATGTGACAGAGGCTAAAAATGAGCGTGGAAACTAGTGGTAGAAGCAAACTAAGACCAGTAGAAAGAGACCAGAGAGAGAGACTAAAGACAGAGACCAGAGAGAGACCAGCGAGACCAGATAGACCAGAGATAGACTACAAAACACAGACCAGAAATCAAAGACCAAAGACCATGGACCATAGAGACCGAACTGTTTTGAGGGCGGGGAACTATGGATTGCATTGTGTAGTTTCAAATGTATAAACCCCAGCTTTAATAACATTATAATTAAACTAAAACAACAGAAAAAGCAACCAGAACTCTGTGTCTGTATATTCTTTCTTTGGTCCATTCCCTTGACCAGAGGCTGCAGTTCTTGCTTTTGGCCTGTGGGTGTCTCTCTTCTTCTTCAGAAGGCTTCTCTCTCTCTCTCTGCAAACACTGTCTCATATTTATGGACATAATTATTATCTCTGAGCAAAAACCTGAATCTACCTTCATCCGGTGTCGATACAAAACTACATCCTGCACGGACACAGCAGCTGTCAGAGAGTGGAGAAGTCTACACTCTACCACAGGTGGGTCACGTTTTTACCTGAGAGATCCAAAAAGTCTCATTCTTTAAACTGTTTTCCTAAAGGAACCAGACAAATTTTTACTGGGAGAATGTGGGATTTTTTATCATTATCATTTTTTCATAATATTTTACGGTGTCTCGGTCCAGACACCAGAGATAGACCAGAGAGTGACCAGTGAGAGGGAACAGAGAGAGAGAGAGAGAGAGAGAGAGAGAGAGAGAGGGAGAGAGAGAGAGAGAGAGAGAGAGACCAGAGATAGAATAGAGAGAGACCAGAGAGAGACCAGAGAGAGAGAGGGGGAGAGAGACCAGAGAATAGAGAGAGACCAGAGAGGGACCAGAGAGAGATACCAGAGAGAGAGACCAGAGAGACCAGAGAGAGGGACGAGAGAGACCAGAGAGAGGGACCAGAGAGAGAGAGAACAGAAAGAGACCGGAGAGAGACCAGAGAGGGACCAGAGAGAGAGACCAGAGAGGGACCAGAGAGAGAGAGAACAGAGAGAAAGAACAGAGACGGGGACTAGAGAGAGAGAGAACAGAGAGAGAGCAAGGGACCATAGAGAGAGACCAGAGAGAGACCAGAGAGAGGGACCAGAGAGAGACCAGATAGAGAGACTATAATTTGACTGTAACATTTTCCATAGTCACCTTGACTTTTTCCAGCTGATGTCACAGGATACAGTGGTCTCCCATCACAATGCTGACCAGGCCTGGTCTTGCTTAGCTTTGACAGGCATCTACAGAATCCATCGAGAGGCAAATTATAAAGGGTCAAATATGTGGAAGATGTTCACTATACTGCTAGTAGTTGTTTGTTTTATTTTGTTATTTTTATTTTTGGAAATCTTCGACCGGAGTAAAAATGTGGAATCGACTCAAATGTTTAAGAAAGAGATCAAAGCAATAACAATAACATCGTGGCCACACCTGCATGTGAAAGAAAGATCCTGTCAGACCTCTGAAGCTGTGATGGGAGACCTCGGGGAACACCAGGTGCCACAGTGGGGCGTCCGTGGCTGTAAAGTGCCAAACTGTGGTTGTGTCCTTAGGCAAGACACTTCACCCACATTAGAATGAGTCTGGTGTGTGTGAATGGTTGGTGGTGGGAGCGGCCAATGGCACATACAGTTTGCCTCACGACTGTCAGAGTGCCCCAGGGCAGTTGGAGGTCTCTTTTTATATGAAATTAAAAGAATGATGAATGAATAATTACTTATCTGTACTTTACTTTGTCACTCTTCGTCCCGTACATACAACTAAATATTGCCTCTTTTTAATACTTTGCTTCTTTGTTATGCTAAAGATAGAGATAGATAGAGATTTTATACAGGTCCTGCTCCTCCTGGTCTTGCTCCTCCTGGTCTTGCTCCTCCTGGTCCTTCGCCGCCTCTTTGTTTGGTGCAGTGCTTGTTTTCTCAGCGGTTACGGAGGCGCGCTCCTCTGGACGCAGCGAGGCAGGAAATGGGAATAATGATAATGTGTGCTCCTCTGCATCACAGCCTCAGAGGAGGGGGAGACTGTAGACCCAAGACTGAGACTGTAGGTCCAGGACTGAGGCTGTAGACACAAGACTGAGACTGTAGGTCCAGGACTGAGGCTGTAGACCCAAGACTGAGACTGTAGGTCCAGGACTGAGGCTGTAGACCCAAGACTGAGACTGTAGACCCAAGACTGAGACTGTAGGTCCAAGACTGAGACTGTAGACCCAAGACTGAGACTGTAGACTCAAGACTGAGACTATAGGTCCAGGACTGAGGCTGTAGACCCAAGACTGAGACTGTAGGTCCAGGACTGAGGCTGTAGACCCAAGACTGAGACTGTAGACCCAAGACTAAGACTGTAGACCCAAGACTGAGACTGTAGACCCAAGACTGAGACTGTAGACCCAGGACTGAGACTGTAGACCCAGGACTGAGACTGTAGATCCAGGACTGCGGCTAGTCAATCTAGTTTCTCTCCGGTTTCTATGTGGTCTCTCTCGGGTTTCTCTCTGATTTCTCTCTCTGATCTCTCTCTAGACTCTCTCGCTGTTCACTCTCTGGTCTCTCTCTTTCTCTCTGGTCTTTTTTACGGGTCTCTCTGGTCTCTCTTAGGTCTTTCTCTGGTCTCTCTCTGGTCTCTCTCTGGTCTCTCTCTGGTCTCTCTCCAGCCTCTCTCTCTGGTCTCTCTCTGGTCTCTCTCTGGTCTCTTTCTGGTCTCTCTCCAGCCTCTCTCTCTGGCCTCTCTCTGGCCTCTCTCTGGTCTCTCCGGCCTCTCTCTCTGGTCTCTCTCTGATCTCTCTCTGGTCTCTCTCCCTGGTCTCTCTCTGGTCTCTCTCCCTGGTCTCTCTCTGGTCTCTCTATGCTCTCTGTCCGGTCTCTCTCTGGTCTCTCTATGCTCTCTCTCCGGTCTCTCTCTGGTCTCTCTCTGGTCTCTCTCCCTGGTCTCTCTCTGGTCTCTCTCTGGTCTCTCTCTGGTCTCTCTCTGGTGTCTCTCTGGTCTCTCTCTATCTCCAATAACCAGTTTTCTGACTTGATATTGTTGCTTGTTTCTCCACATGTCTCTGTTCTCTGTGTGAACCATGTGGAGCTGTCAGGACTCATCAGACCAGCGTCCAGTCAGAACAGCCGGAGCTCCTGTCCGACCGCAGAGTCCTCTCTCCCCCATGGTCCTCCCTCCCCCACAGTCCTCTCTCCCCCACAGTCCTCCCCCCCTCCCCTGAAGAGAGACTGGACAGACCACACAGCTCTCCATGGGAAAACAAGACTTAATCTCTCTCTGCTGCTATTCATTCATTCAAACTGAGGTAAGACTAAGAAAAACAACCTCAAGTCTAAAAACACAGATTGTCAGTGATGCTGCAGGTGGAGCCCCCTGCAGGAGAAGTATGGTAACTGCACAATCCTCGGATCTCTCCTGCTGTGTTCGTTATGGCTTCAGCTGTTGTCTTTTCTTTGCTCTTCATCCACTGTCTCACTTTCTGTTTTGTGATGATGAGAGCCCTGAATCTGGCCACTCTTATCTGGAACTGTGAACTGGTCTCTGTCTTGGATTTATACAGCCTCAGTCCTGGATCTAAAGTCTCAGTCCTGGATCTACAGCCTCAATCCTGGGTCTACAGCCTCAGTCAGTCCTGAATCTACAGCCTCAGTCCTGGATCTACAGTCTCAGTCCTGGCTCTACAGTCTCAGTCCAGGGTCTACAGCCTCAGTCCTGGGTCTAGAGCCTCAGTCCTGGGTCAACAGCCTCAGTCCTGGGTCTACAGCCTCAGTCCTGGATCTATACAGCCTCAGTCCAGGGTCTACAGCCTCAGTCCTGGGTCTAGAGCCTCAGTCCTGGGTCAACAGCCTCAGTCCTGGGTCTACAGCCTTAGTCCTGGATCTACAGTCTCAGTCCTGGATCTACAGCCTCAATCCTGGGTCTACAGCCTCAGTCAGTCCTGAATCTACAGCCTCAGTCCTGGATCTACAGCCTCAGTCCTGGATCTATACAGCCTCAGTCCAGGGTCTACAGCCTCAGTCCTGGGTTTAGAGCCTCAGTCCTGGGTCAACAGCCTCAGTCCTGGGTCTACAGCCTCAGTCCTGGATCTACAGTCTCAGTCCTGGATCTACAGCCTCAGTCCTGGGTCTAGAGCCTCAGTCCTGGGTCAACAGCCTCAGTCCTGGATCTACAGTCTCAGTCCTGGATCTACAGTCTCAGTCCTGGGTCTACAGCCTCAGTCCTGGATCTACAGCCTCAGTCCTGGGTCTACCGCCTCAGTCCTGGGTCTAGAGCCTCAGTCCTGGGTCAACAGCCTCAGTCCTGGGTCAACAGCCTCAGTCCTGGATCTACAGTCTCAGTCCTGGGTCTACAGCCCACCCATCTCAATGTTCACCTCCTCAGGGTTCCTCTCTGATGCAGGAGGGTCTAAATACAGTGTTGATCCTGGATCTTTATGGACCTTCCTGGACAGTGGTCGTCCCGCTCCTTTGGACCAAAGGATGTGTTTGTTACTGTTTTTTCCGTGTTTGATTCGGATCTGTTGTTTTGATTAGTTTGTAAAGTCCTCTGCGACTATATGTTTATTTAAAATATATATGTATTTTGGCTACAGGTTGTTTGTATTGAAAAAAAATTATAAACTGGACAAAATATGAAGAATTGTAGACTTCATTTTTATTTTTACTAATTCAAATGTAATTCTGGTGACTCTGAGCAGCAGTAACGTCACTTCCTTTTAAATAATCTGGTAAAAAATAACCCTCAGAATTCCATTGGTTTGAATAGGAGTCAAACCGACTGCTCTTGGAGTTTTAGTCCTTTAACACGTTCATGAGCCCTAGTGTTTACTCATAGGTACTGCAGCTTTAACCGTTGCATCTTAAACCTGGACTTCTCACAATATCAGATCCAACATGGCCGCCTTCCCCGACCAGTCGCCTGTCACTGCGCATCACTCCTCCCTGAGAAACTCCTGAAGTAAAACTGCATTTCTGTGGTGTAGTCGACCAGGGGGAGAGAGGGGGGAGGCGCAGGGGGGAGTGCTATCGGAGCGCGGGGCACAAATCTCTGCCTCAGCAAAAGTTTTCATTAAATTTTGGAGACAAATGATGTGGGTGTCCTTCTGCCGGAGCCGCTGCCTGGGGCGTCGGGCTATTTCTATGCAAATAACAACCTCGCGCCTTTGCTCCTATTATTTCTGCTGGAGCTGGTGCAACGGGACCCGAGAGAGAGAGAGGGGGGGGGGGGGGGGGGGGGGGGGGGGGGCGAGGGGGAGAGGCTGAGAGAGGGGGGAGCCATATCTGCTTTCACTACTGCCTCTGTCCATATTGTTTTGTGTTTATGTACAAGAGAGGAATGGCTGGAATGGAATATATACAGTAGAAGAAAAGAAGTCTGAGAAAGTTAGAGATGGTTCTTTATTGTGCTGAAGTTAGAGAGTTTCATTTCTACTGCTCTGTCTGGTGATGCAACACTGACATTTCCGATGACTGCTTGGACGGAGCTGATTTCTGCTTCTTTAAGAACCGAATCTCTGAGATCAAACTATTATATTTATAACAGATTAAACTCAGTTGTACAAGAAAGAGTCTCGTAAAAGTCAAATGTTGTGGACAAATCCAAACACATTCTGCTGCTCATCTAGAAAACATGTACATTCAACTTACTTACTTTTGTGTAAGAAAGATCAGATAAGATTAGCTTTATGGATCTCAGAATGGAGCAATGTGTTTTGGCACAGATAGAATCACTCAGATTTGTGCAAAAGACAGAAGTGTGAAATGTGTTAAAAGTTAAATATATAGTCTGTGCATGCAGGATACAATTGTGTAAAATAAAAAGTGGCAATAGCAGCTGGTTCTTCAGTCCTAGTGTAGGTCATTAGTGACTTAAAGTGACTCAGTGTACAGTCTGACAGCGGTGGGGATGAAAGAGCCCTGTGAGTCACTTTTTGGGCTGCGAGCTGATCCTAAGCTGCGTTTTTTATCTTCTCTCACTTTGGTCTCTCGCTTGTTTCCATGGTCTCTCTGGTCGCTCTCAGTTCGGTCTCTCTCTGGTCTCTCTCACTGGTCTCTCTCTATGGTCTCTCTCTTTTGGCTCTCTGTCTGGTCTCTCTCACTGGTCTCTCTCTATGGTATCTCTCTGTCCGGCCTCTCTCTGGTCAGTGTAACACCTTCGCTAGCACCGGGGAGATTTATTTGTATGAGTGAAACATGACAGTGGCACAACAATTGTTAAAATATATAATTGTTAAAGCATTTTCTTACTGTTGAAATTAGATTTTTTAAATATTTTTTTAAAAATTAGTTTTATGAATTCCCAGAGATAACACAATGCAGTACTTGTATTGGTATTCGGTATCGGCAAGCACTCAAGTCAAGGTACTCATACACGTATCGGTTTTGAAAAAAGGGATTACGGTGCATCCCTAGAAGCAACTGTTTTAAAGCGAGAATCTAAATCTTGCTTGACGACAAAGTTACATCCCTGAGCTTTAACTCCTGCTTTTACTTCCTGTGGAAAAGCCTCTTTCTCTCTCCGCTGGTGGTTCATCCCATTATTGCTCCTCTCTCTCAGGTCCCAGCAGGCCTTGCCCCCCGCGGAGCTGAGAAGTGAGCTGTGTCCAGACACCTGCCTCTGCTCTGGGGGAGACTGGCCCCAGACTGGCCCCCTGCCCCCCCCTCGGACCCCCTGCTGAGGGCCCCTGCTGCTGCTGCGGGGGTCTCCCAGCAGGGGGCGGTGTAATGGCTCCATCAGGGCGTTTACAGAGAGCTCGGTGTCACACAGTTCCCACACCTGTCACTGCAGTCATGTGATCAGTGTGGGAAGGAGCTGGTGAAGAGAACATGCAAACCAGGACATTCTGATGCAGCAGGATGTTAACCACCTCTTGCTCTCTCCACTTGTGATTATGGTTTATGTTCTGTTTATGGTGCACAGTCCACAGGAAAGAGATATTTTTGAAATGAAATGTTTTACTGGATTATTCTTTGATAGTGATTAGATTTACAGACCAGAGAGAGTGAGAGCAGGGAGAGAGAGTAAAGGAAAGCCAGACAGAGACTATAGCGAGAGAGACCAGATTGAGAGACCAGAGCGAGACTATAGAAAGACCAGAGAAAAGCAAGACAGACTATAGAGAGAGAGAGACCAGGAAGAGAGAGACCAGAGAAAAGCCAGACAGAGACTATAGAGAGAGAGAGACCAGAGAGACTATAGAAAGAGTTTCCAGAGATAGAGACACCAGAGGGAGAGAGTACAGAGAGAGCAACCAGAGAAAAAGCAGAGAGGGAGAGACCAGAGAGAGAAACAAAAACTGTCACTTTTCTACATCATCAACTATTGTCTCATTATTTTCTCTCTCTGGTCTCTATCTCTCATCCCAGTCCAGTCTCTCTCTGGTGTGTCTCTCTCTTGTCCTTCTTGGGTCTTGCTCTGGTCTCAGTCTGGTCTCAGTCTGGTCTCAGTCTGGTCTCAGTCTGGTCTCCGTCTGGTCTCAGTCTGAGCCTCTTTCATCTCTGTGCTCTCCAAAGACTGTGTGAATGCTAATGACAGCGCCCCCTTGTGCTCACTCGTCCTTTCACATGCGTCTCCATGGAAACGAGTTGTCTTCAGAATCAACTTTATTTGAAATTCATTGAAAACACAAAATCATGAATAAAATACATTTTATCGCCTCATTTTCATAAATACGTGTTTGTGTTTTTGCGTCTGCGGCTGAAAGAAAAGAAAATTCTTCCACTTTCAACAAAATAAACACATTATTTTTCTCTGAGATTCAGCAGGTTTTGACAATTTAACATATTTGCAAAATTTACTGAGGATTGTAGAAGCTTTTGACAAGACTTGGATTCATAAAATAGCAATTCACAAGAGTCACCGGATGGAAAGTTATCTATGTCTCTGGTCTCAGTCTAGTCCCAGTCTGGTCTCTCTCTCTGGTCTCTCTCTAGTCTCTCTCTCTGGTCTCTCTCTGTGGTCTCTCTCTAGTCTCTCTCTCTGGTCTCTCTCTGTGGTCTCTCTCTAGTCTCTGTCTCTGGTCTCTCTCTGGTCACTCTCAGCACGTCTTTCTCTGAATCTCTCGGGTCTATCTCTGGTTCTGGTCTCTGGTTCTGGTCTCTTATATTTACAGTCTAGGTGTGTGTGTGTGTGTGTGTGTGTGTGTGTGTGTGTGTGTGTGTAGTTTGGATGGGGCCAATAGGAGGGCAGGGAGAACCAGAAAGAGGGATCAGAGAGAGATCAGAGAGACACCAGAGAGAGACCAGAGTGAGACCAGGGAGGGACCAGGGAGAGACCAGAGAGAGAACAGAGGGAGACCAGAGAGAGACCAGAGAGAAACCAGAGAGAAATCAGAGAGAGAGAACAAAGAGAGACCAGAGTGATACAAGAGGGAGAGACCAGAGAGCAGAGAGAGACCAGAGGCAGATGGGACGTCCAGACTCCTTGCTCCCGCTGAGAACAACTCATGACGCAGGACTTTTTCTGCCGTTGTTTTTTTTTTTTTTCACTGGAACAAACAGCACATTAGTCTTGTGTGAAAAGTTGCCTCCGCAGCACAATGTTAGTGAAGGATGGAGCACAGCCAGACAGGGGGGGAGGAGGGGGGGGGGGGGGGGGGGGAGAATGGGGGAGGATGGGGGAGCAGATCTGACCTAAAGCATGTAAGCTCACACCACAACACTGACCACAACAATATTTCACAGTGGATCGTCTCACATTGTAAAGAGGGTCAATACTTTGGGGTGTTATGGATCGCCCGATAGAACAGCCTGCTCCAGCTCCTGCCAAAATCCTGCATCTTCACACATTCAAGACGAGTGGACCAACAACCATGTGATCTCACTTGAGAAATTAGCAACTCTGTAACCTAGAGAGCAAAGAGAGAGAGGGAGAGCAAAGAGAGAGAGAGAGAGAGCAAAGAGAGGGAGCAGAGAGAGACCAGAGCGAGACAAGAGAGAAACCAGAAAGAACAAAGAGAGGGAGCAAAGAGAGACTAGAGCGAGACTGGAGAGGGAGCAGAGAGAGAGGGAGCTAGAAATAGAGTGCAGAAAGAGAGAGCAGAGCAAGGCTAGAGATAGACCAGAGAGAGCCAAGAGAGAAACCAGAGCGAGACTGGAGTGAGACAAGAGAGAGAGCAGAGAGCGCCAAGAGAGAAACCAGAGAGAGCAAAGAGAGGGAGCAGAGACAGACCAGAGCGAGACAAGAGAGAGCGCAGAGAGAGACCAGGGAGAGACCAGAGATAGAGCAGAGACCAGAGAGAGAGAGACCAGAGCGAGAGACCAGAGAGAGACCAGAGAGAGACCAGATAGAGACTAGGGAGATATCTGTTCACCAAGAGTTACCGTTACAATAATCTAAAAACAAAGTTCGGTACCGAAGCTTTTGCAGAACCAAGACCTATATTTAAACCATTTCTTTTCGGTCCAACATGATTCTCTGTCGTCTGTGATCGTGGCCTCAGCCTCGTGCTGTAAATCCCCGAAAGACCGTCTCCTCGCTCTGACTCCTGCCGTTCGTCACAGAGCTGTCGATACTGGGAGGGAAGCGCATCACCTCCGCCTCTCCCTGGGGGGCGCTAATACACTCCACCACACACACACACACTGACCCCAGGCCTCTCCTCTGTCACTGCTCTTGACGAAATGTTCTTTAATACCCTATTGGCAGAATCGACACCCCTGGAGGCCGGGCGCTCCCTCCGGTGGGACCCCGCAGTATTGATTTTGTTTGGCTGTGTGTGTGTGTGTGTGTGTGTTGTGGTACTATTACTGGGAGATTAGTGGGGCCATTACGGAGCATGAGTCCAGTGGAAGTGACAGAGGAGGAGGTCCCGCTGTGAGGTGAAGCACAGACAAACAACTGCAGAATACAGCAGAGATGAGGGGCTGTAATCTCAATCCGAGTTTTACCTGTAATCCTGAGGTAATCTAGACTATAATTACATGATTGAGAATATGAAATATGTTATTTAGGTAAAGTATATGTATTAAGAGAGGCTGAGGTACATATATGAGTTTTCATATGTGTGTGTTTTGTTGGTCTTTGTTTCATTTTTGGATCAGATTTTCAAAGTCGAAAAGTGACTCTTTCTTACACCAGATATTACGTTTTCTAACATGAGATACCAGTGAGATAGACAGAGCAGAGAGAAAGGGAGACAAGAGAGAGAGATAGAGAGAGAAAGTAGAGAAACCAGAAAGAGAGAGGGACCAGAGAAACACCAGAGAGTCCAGAGAGAGAGAGACCAGAGAGACACCAGAGAGGCCAAAGAGACACCAGAGAGTCCAGATAGAGACCAGGGAGTCCAGCGAGAGAAACCAGAGCCATAAAGCTCTTTATAATCTTTAGTCTTAATCTTTGTATGAATAAAAACGATTTACATACATGTTTGTGCTCTCTGATTGTAAGGACCGATGGTGCGGCAGGAAACACACAAACGGTTTGAATAACAAATTAGCCAACAAATGTGTTAAACAATACAAATAAATGAGGCCAAAATCAAATGTGCAACTGAACATGACAAACACTGACCTAACACAAGACACTCCAGGGGAACATTTAAGCTGGGTGATCAGACCAACTATTAACTAAAGGGGGTAAACAAGACTACACAAACAAATGCATCTACTTAAACTAGTTTAAGGATAAAGTTAAAATAACTGTAGCAATAATAATATCAAATTAATACTAATGATAATAAATAATAATAATAAACTCTTATACTCAAACTATATAAACTCAAATGAATCTCCCAAACATCCCTTCTTCTGGACCTGCCATGGTTCAGGCCATAGGGTGGAGCCTGGAGGTAACACCCACAGGTGGAGTCAGCCCACAGGAGGGAGCTTCCATTCACACCGATGTTAGCATGGATAAATATAAACACAACTCTAGGTCTGTGACTGAGAAACACTGTTGTAATGTATAAATCAGGAAGTCCCTCTGTTCGACGCAGGCCTCACACCTCAGCTCTGTGGCCTGCCGACCCCCCCAGCGGGATGGGGGTGTGTGATGGATGGTCTGGTCTCCCCCCTCTCTCCCCCCCTCCCCTCCGCCTGGAACATAAGGGCCAGTGTGGGTCTCGAGCTGAGGTCCTGCTGCGATGTGAGATCTGCTGATGTGGGAGAAAGTTTCCCTCTCTCAAACTCTGGCTCTGCTTCTGCTCCCTGCTGCCTGTGATGTCACACTGCTGCCTGTGATGTCACACTGCTGCCTGTGATGTCACACTGCTGCCTGTGATGTCACACTGCTGCGGTGATGTCACACTGCTGCCTGTGATGTCACACTGCTGCCTGTGATGTCACACTGCTGCCTGTGATGTCACACTGCTGCGGTGATGTCACACTGCTGCCTGTGATGTCACACTGCTGCCTGTGATGTCACACTGCTGCCTGTGATGTCACACTGCTGCCTGTGATGTCACACTGCTGCAGTGATGTCACACTGATGAAGTAAAACAATACAATTTCAAGTTCCATGTCATAGTTCCTGGCTCTAAAAATGTTGCTTCTATTATTGGTTTTTATGTATTTCTGTCTATGCCACATCTTTGGATTGGATTTTACAGACAGAAAAGTGACAAAGAGAGGACCTCATTCAGCCAATCAGCTCTCAGCCCAATGAGTCAGATAGTGACTCATAGGGATCTTTCTGAGACAAAAGACAACATGTTTTCTAGTAAGCAGACCTAGACAGAGAGACCAGAGAGACCAGAAAGAGACAAGAGAGACCAGAGAGACTAGAGAGAGACAAGAGAGACCAGAGAGACTAGAGAGAGACAAGAGAGACCAGAGAGACAAGAGACAGAGACCAGAGAGACCAGAGAGACAAGAGACAGACAAGAGAGACCAGAGAGACTAGAGAGAGACCAGAGAGACCAGAGAGACCAGAGAGACCAGAGTCCAGAGAGACACAGAGAGAGGGAGGGAGACTAGAGAGAGACTCCAGAGAGGGACCAGAGAGAGAGATAGACCATAGAGAGAGTCCATAGAGGTACCAGAGAGAGACTAGAGAGACCAGAGAGAGACAAGAGAGCGAGAGACTTGAGAGCGAGAGACCAGAGAACTAGTCCATAGAGAGACCAGAGAGAGACTAGAGAGAGAGAGAGACCATTGCGAGAACAGTGAGGGAGACCAGAGAGAGGGACTAGAGAGAGACCAGAGAGGGACCAGAGAGAGACCAGAGCGAGAGACCATGAGAGAGACTAGAGAGAGAGAGAGCCCATAGAGAGAACAATGAGGGAGACCAGAGAGGTATGATGTTCCATCTGCTGATAAATGATCTTTAAAAACCAGCTCTGTCTCGTTGCTGCTAAAAGTTAATTTCACAGATGCGTTTTGCACATTTCTCCTGCTGCTCGTTCACACACAGGCCACATCCATCAGCACCAGAAACGCTTGCACCAGCAGCTTCCCCTGGTGCCGTCACCCTTTAATCTACATGGTTTTAACACCGATGGTCACGCCTGGAACATTAAAGAAAAGAGACAGATAAAAGATGATTAGAGGAGAGCAGAGGTTCAAGAGCAGATCTGTCCCGGGTCAAAGAGAAACATATATAACAGAGAGAGACAGAGAGAGAGAGAGAGCGAGAGAGAGAGGGGGGAGAGAGAGAGAGAGAGAGAGAGAGAGAGAGAGAGAGAGAGAGAAAGGGAGAGGGAGAGGGAGAGAGAAAGAAAGGGAGAGAGAGAGAGAGAGAAAGAATGGAATCTCACACCAGTTTAGGGCCAGATACACATGGTTCTATCTATCTCTCACTCTTACTCTATCTCTCTCTCCCTCTCTTTTTATCTATTTATTTATATACAGTATACTGTTTATATATCTCTCTTTCTGTCTCCCCTGTCTCTCTCTCTTTCTCCCCCTCTCTCTACAGTATATCTCTCTCTATTTTTTTCTCTCTCCCTCCCCATCTCCCTCTCTCTGCTCCTGTCTCTCTCCCTCCCTCCGGATCCTTCTAACCTCTATATCTCCCCTGTCTCCCTCTTGCCTTACCCCCCATCTCTCTCTCCCTCCTTCTCTCTCTCTCTCTCTCTATGTATTTATCCATGTATTAATTTCTCTCTCCCTCCTTCGCTCTCTCTATCTATCTCTCTCTATCTGTCTCCCCTGTCTCTCTCTCTCTTTCTCCCTCCCTCTCTCCTCAACCCCCCTAACTTTCTCTCTCCCTCCTTCTCTCTCTCTATATCTATTTATCTATCTTACTCTGTATCTATCTATATATTAATCTCTCTCTCTCTATCTGTCTCCCCCTGTCCCCCCTTCTCTCTCTTTGATTAGCAGCGGCAGTATAGGTTCAAGTGCGGATGTGTCGCGGGTTAAAAGTGAAACATATAAAACATAGATAGTGCTGAGTGGAATCTTTCATCCGGACGTTTTGGGGCCAGAGACGCATCGTTCACGCGTCGTTCGTGAGGACGGAGCGCGATGCGGGGATAAGGGCCAAATGGATGGTCGTATTTTAGCGCGGGTCAGGCGGGATGGCGCGCTCCCGACAACGTAATTACAAGCTGGGAGGGGAGAAGAGATAGGGGAGGAGGGGGGGGGGAGGAAGGGGGAGGGAAGGGGAGGAGGAGGGAGGATGGACAGCCCGCTTTAATTGAGTGGTCACCTCTGAGTGTTGTGCGAACGCCGCGGCCAGATGGAGGAGATGAGAGAGGACAGGGCGAGAGGGGAGGGAGGGGAGGGAGGGGGAGAGAGAGAGGACAGGGAGAGAGGGGAGGGGGGAGGAGAGAGAGTACAGGGAGAGAGGGGAGGGGGGGAGGAGAGAGAGTACAGGGAGAGAGGGGAGGGAGGGGGAGGAGGAGAGGGAGGACAGGGAGAGAAGGGAGGAAGGGGGAGAGAGAGAAAAGGGAGAGAGGGGAGGGAGGGAGGAGGAGGAGAGAAAGAGGACAGGGAGAGAGGGGAGACAGGGAGAAGAGGAGAGGGAGAGAGAGGACAGGGGGGGAGGGGAGGGGGGAGAGAGAAAGGGGAAGAGGGGGAAGAGGAGAGGGGGGGAAAGAGAGGAGGACAGGGAGAGAGGGGAAGGAGGAGAGAGAAGACAGGAACAGAGGGAGGAAAGAGGAGGAGTGGTGAAGAGGTGTTCTGGAGGCCTCTGTTTAGAGCCATGTAGATTGTCAGTGTTTTTGTGTCGCCATGTGATCAAACAGTAGACATTCTCATACACATAGTTCATGCAAGGCGACCCAGGAATGTACAGAAGGCTTTTTGTCAAGAACGATATATCGGCTTTATTCAGCTGCAGTCTGAGGAGGACTTTACAAAGTTTTCAAACCAAACACTTCCAAACTAATTCCTGGGTCATTCTCTGTAACCGGTGCCTTTTGTGTCCCAGAGGTTTAACGCAAAGAATAAAAAATAAAGTTACCAATACAATGAATTTTAACCAAGAAACAGAAAGAAACATGTGTATTTGCATAGAACACAAGAAAATATTTGAAAAAAATACATTATTCACATTTTTTTGAGTCGCTGAGTATCCGATGGCAGAGGAAAATGCATGTCCCCAGTGACCAAAGTTCCATCCATCCATCCATTTTCTTCCGCTTTATCCGTTGCCGGGTCGCAGGGGCAGCAGTCTAAGCAGAGACGCCCAGACTTCCCTATCCACACACACCTCCTCCAGCTCGTCCGGGGGGACCCCTAGGCGTTCCCAGGCCAGCTGAGAGACATAGTCCCTCCAGCGTGTCCTGGGTCTTCCCCGGGGCCTCCTCCCGGTGGGACGTGCCCGGAACACCTCCCCAGGAAGGCGTCCAGGAGGCATCCTGAACAGATGCCCGAGCCACCTCAACTGGTTCCTCTCGACGTGGAGAAGCAGCGGCTCTACTCCGAGCTCCTCCCGTGTGACCGAGCTCCTCACCCTATCTCTAAGGGAGCGCCCAGCCACTCTGCGGAGGAAGCTCATTTCGACCGCTTGTATCCGCGATCTCGTTCTTTCGGTCATTACCCACAGCTCATGACCATAAGTGAGGGAGGGAACGAAGATTGACCGGTAAATTGAGAGCTTTGCCTTTCGGCTCAGCTCCCTCTTTACCACAACGGTCCGATACAGCGACCGCATCACTGCGCACGCTGCACCGATCCGCCTGTCAATCTCACGCTCCATCCTCCCCTCACTCGTGAACAAGACCCCGAGATACTTGAACTCCTCCACTTGAGGGAGGACCTCTCCACCCACCTGGAGAGGGCAAGGCACCTTTTTCCGGTCGAGCACCATGGCCTCGGATTTGGAGGTGCTGATTCTCATCCCAGCCGCTTCACACTCGGCTGCAAACCGTCCCAGTGCATGTTGCAGGTCCTGGTTCGTTGGAGCCAGCAGGACGACATCATCCGCAAAAAGTAGAGATGAAATCCTGTGGTTCCCGAACCGGACCCCCTCCGGCCCCTGGCTGCGCCTAGAGATTTTGTCCATAAATACAGTGAACAGAACCGGTGACAAAGGGCAGCCTTGGCGGAGGCCAACATGCACCGGGAACAGGTCTGACTTACTGCCGGCAATGCGAACACAGCTCTGGCTCCGGTCATACAGGGACCGAACAGCCCTCAGCAGAGGACCCCGGACCCCGTACTCCCGGAGGACCCCCCAAAGGACACCCCGGGGAACACGGTCGAACGCCTTCTCCAAATCCACAAAGCACATGTGGACAGGTTGGGCGAACTCCCATGAACCCTCGAGTATCCGATGGAGAGTATAGAGCTGGTCCAGTGTTCCGCGACCGGGACGAAAACCACACTGCTCCTCCTGAATCCGAGATTCGACCATCGGACGTAGCCTCCTCTCCAGTACCTTGGAGTAGACCTTGCCAGGGAGGCTGAGGAGTGTGATCCCACGATAATTGGAACACACCCTCCGGTCCCCCTTCTTGTAGAGAGGGACCACCACCCCGGTCTGCCACTCCATTGGCACCGCCCCCGATCGCCACGCAATGTTGCAGAGACGTGTCAGCCAAGACAGTCCTACAACATCCAGAGACTTTAGATAGTCAGGACGGATCTCATCCACTCCCGGCGCCTTGCCACCATGGAGTCTGCCAACCACCTTGGTGACCTCGGCCAGGGAGATGGAAGTATCCGCCCCAACATCCTCAGCCTCTGCCTCCTGGACGGAGGACGTGACGGGGGGATTGAGGAGAACCTCGAAGTATTCCTTCCACCGCCCGACAATATCCCCAGTCGAGGTCAGCAGCCCTCCACCCGCACCATACACGGTGTTGGCAAAGAACTGCTTCCCCCTCCTGAGGCGCCGGACAGTTTGCCAGAACCTCTTCGAGGCCGACCGATAGTCATGCTCCATGGACTCTCCGAACTCCTCCCAGTCCCGGGTTTTTGCCTCTGCAACAGCCCGGGCCGCGGCACGTTTGGCCTGCCGGTACTGGACAGCTGCCTCAGGAGTCCCACGAACCATCATTGCTCGATAGGACTCCTTCTTCAGCCTGACGGCATCCCTTACTGCCGGTGTCCACCACCGGGTTCGGGGATTGCCGCCGGGACCAGCACCAGAGACCTTGCGACCACAGCTACGAGCCGCCGCATTGGCGATAGAGGAAGAGAACATGGTCCACTCAGACTCGATGTCCCCCTCCTCTGCCGGGACCTGGGAGAAGCTCTCCCGGAGGTGTGAGTTGAAAGTCCGTCTGACAGGGGGCTCACCAAGACGTTCCCAGCAAACCCTCACTACACGCTTGGGCCTGCCAGGTCTGACCGGCCTCCTGCCCTGCCAGCGGATCCAACTCACGACCAGGTGATGATCGGTTGACAGCTCCGCCCCTCTCTTCACCCGAGTGTCCGAGACACGCAATCGAAGGTCAGATGATACGACTACAAAGTCGATCATCGACCTCCGGCCTAGGGTGTCCTGGTGCCACGTGCACTGATGGACACCCTTGTGCTCGAACATGGTGTTCGTGATGGACAGGCCGTGACTGGCACAGAAGTCCAACAACTGAACACCGCTCGGGTTCAGATCAGGGGGGCCGCTCTTCCCGATCACCCCTCTCCAAGTGTCACTGGCATTTCCCACATGGGCGTTGAAGTCCCCCAGGAGAATAACGAAGTCCCCGGGCGGTGCACTGTCCAGTACCCCTCCCAAGGACTCCAAGAAGGCCGGGGTACTCTGCACTACCGTTAGGCCCGTAGGCCGTCACAACAGTGAGAGACTTGTCCCCCACCCGGAGACGGAGGGACGCGACCCTCTCATTCACCGGGGAGAACTCCAACACGTGGCGGCTGAGATGGGGGGCAATGAGTATGGCCACCCCAGCTCGCCGCCTCTCCCCGCGGGAAACACCAGAAAAGTGGAGCGTCCAACCCCTCTCAAGGAGTTGGGTTCCAGAGCCCAAGCTGTGTGTGGAGGTGAGGCCGACTATCTCTAGTCGGTATCGCTCAACCTCCCCCACAAGCTCGGGCTCCTTCCCCCCCAGTGAGGTGACGTTCCACGTCCCAAGAGCCAGATGTTGGGTGTGTGGACTGGGTCGTCGAGGTCTCCGCCTTCGACTGCTGCCCAGTCCTCTCTGCACCGCGCCACCACGGACCCCTCTGCAGGTGGTGAGCCCACAGGAGGGACTGCCCACGTCATCCCTTCGGGCTGAGCCCGGCCGGGCCCCGTGGGCTAAGGCCCGGCCACCAGGCGCTCGCCTACGAGCCCCGACCCCAGGCCTGGCTCCAGGGTGGGGCCCCGGCTGCGCCATGCCGGGCGACGTCACGGTTTTCGTTGTCGTGCTGTCCATAAGTTGACTGACCAAAGTTACTTTATCCAATTTAAAACATGTATGGATTGCCATTAACCCAATTTCTTCTGCTAATATAATCATATACCAGTCTGTTCTAACTAAAAGAAAAGAAAACTGAAAAGAATTCATGTATTTTTTTTTTTTTCATGAAATGGTACTTTGTAGTCATGTCCCCCAAGTTTGTTCAACCCCGTAACGGCGTGGCATTTTCCACCCTTTTTGAAAATAATTGTTCAGTCCAACAAACTCAACCTTCACAAAGTTACTTACTCAAGTCTTTTCAAGGTCACGCTGTGAAGAGAGGTAATTATTAGCATACATTTTTAACCATATTTCATTTTTGTTGCTGTGACATTGACATCGTCATGCTCAACCTTTCAACTCTGTTACACAGATAAACGATATTTAGATATTGTTTAGGAAGAATCAGACAACTGTGTGGAAAAGTATATCAATTTCTTGATTTCCAAATGCCATGTGGTACTAACATGTTTGCTAACAAGGGAGATATGGCTACTTTTAGCTAGAATCTTCAACCCTGTAACATTCAACCCCAAAACAAAATGAATGGCAAATTCCCTAGTAATATTTGGTATTCCATTTCTAAGGTGGGAAACAGTATTTTACCAGAGGTTCAAATACTCCTTTGTCAGATGCAATGTTCAGAAATTCAATAATTTTTGGTCATTATTCAAAATTCTGAGGACCCAAAAGGCACCTTTTACAGAGAATGACTATAGTTTGTGACTAACTCTAACCCTGTGGTAATACTGTCTCTCTATAGGACTGATGCATGCTGTGATGGAGTTTTATGATTGTAATTCTGTATTTGATTCAAAAGAGTCAAAGTTTAGAGTTTAAAAACAGCCCCTATAGCTTCTCCTCGGTGTAAAGTCCTGTTTGAGTATGAGAATCACAGACTGACTCAGACTCAGGACAAACTCCATTCATTAAAGTAAGTAAGTAAGTAAGTAAGTTTTATTTATATACCGCCTTTCACAGACCAGAGTCACAAAGCGGTTTACAATTGTTATTAAAGACGCCTCAGATCTGACAAACACACACACAAATACACACACACAGACATATGCACGTACGCACACAGACGCAGGCACACACACTGCACATGTGCAAACACACTTACACAGATTAACTCCCACACACGCATATATGCACAAACACACACACACACACCCCTTGGGCTCACACACATATACGCATACAGAACACCTAACGCCTCTATTATACTCTGGTCTCTCTGACCTCTGTCTCTGGTCTCTCTCTCTCTGGTCTCTCTCTGGTCTCTGTCTCTGGTGTCTCTCTGGTCTCTGTCTCTGGTCTCTCTCTGGTCTCTCTCTCTGGTCTCTCTCTCTGGTCTCT